GCCCAGAGAGCTGGAACTGAGGAGCTGAGCAGGTGAGGGGCAAGGTGGGCCTCGAGGCCCCTTCAGCTGGGGCAAGTCCAGTGCAGCCCAGTGGTCGCAGAGGGCAGTCACTGGTCCTTGGGGGTGCAGCTGAGCCCGCTCTCGGCACGAAGCAGCTGGCTGCTGGCCGCGTTGTAGGCGATCCAGTGCTGCAGGTCCTCGGGCTGCTCTGGAGGCTCCACCTGCAGGGCACAGGGTGTGAAGACGCAGGGGTTACTGGGGGTGCGGGGAAGAATTCCCTGCCTGGTAACTGCCTCCCCACCCCTGGGCCTCTGCCCACATCAGCTGTGCCCAGTGTCCGCTGGGCCCCTGCCCCTGGCCTTCCAGGAGCCCACACCCACATCAGCTGTGCCCAGTGCCCGCTGGGCCCCTACCCCTGGCCTTCCAGGAGCCCACACCCACACTGGATGTCCCCAGTGCCTCCTGCGTCTCTGAGCTGAACCCTGCGCAGGATCCATCTTCAAAGCCAGGCAGAGGCCTGTGAGGCTGGCTGGCAGGAGAAGGAGCTGGAGGCCAGGGTGGGAGGGGAGGGCAGCGCTGGGCAGGGGCACTGGCAGCTGTTCCCTGCTGAGTGCTCCCAGCACTGGCTTCTGTTTCCAACCCTCCCTGGGGGGCTACACCAGCCACCTCCCACACACATGCAACCAGCACGCTGCAATGGGAACAAACCCTGGACTGGACCCAGGGGACAGCGCCAAGGGGGTGCCCAGCAAGAGGTGCCCAGAGCCAGGGCTCGGCTCACACATTCAGCCACTGCCCTTCGCAGCAGGACCCTGCTGTCCTGGAGCTGCCCCGCTCTGCCGCCTCCTCAGGGTGGTCAGTCCTTGCTGCCCCAGCCGCGTCATCGGCGTGGCCCGCCCCCGTGGATGTCCCTCTCAGGGGACCCCTGCTGGTGTCCTGCACACGCAGGACCACCCTGAACTCTTGTAACCGAGGCCAAGCTCTCTGTCCGCACCTCCCCCCACCCCCGGCCCGTCGTCAGAGCTCAGGAGGGACACCGCAGTACCCAGCGCAGGGCTGGCTCCTTCCCGGAGGTTCCAGGCAGCTGGGGCTCCCGGGAAACCATGGGAGCAGCATGCCCTGGGGAGGAGCCCGCTCCCTCAAACCGGGGGAAGGCAGCTCAGGCCTGTAGCCCCAAATCCAGAGAACCGCTGGCCCCTCTCCATTGCCAGGGGGCTCTCCAGCTGCAACAGTTCCCAGCAATTCCATCTGACTGACAGGCCCTGTCCCGAGAGGGCTCTCATTCAGACAGGGCGCACACGGCACCTCGCCCTGCATAAAGGCCTGGCCTGGGCTTACACGCGCCTCCTTGCTCAAGCGCCAGGCCAAGAAGGGGGCGTGCGAGACCCCAGTCTCCAGGGGGACGCGGTGAGGCGGGTCCCGCGGCCAGTGGGCAGGGTGGGCACCGCCTTGGGAAGAGGGGTGCTCACTCTGCGCTTGCACAGGTGCTCCACGATGCGCTCCGGCGAGGTGCCCACTATGTGCTGCCGGAAGCGCAGCAGCGCGCACACGAAGCCGTCGCGCAGGCTGACGAAGCGGGCCTCCAGGTAGAAGGCTCGGTCGTCCCAGCCCAGGAGGCGGGTGCGCATCTCAAAGGGCTCGAAGAGGTGCAGCGAGCGGCGGTAGCGCGCGCACGAGGCGGCCAGCACCGTGTTCGCTCCCAGCTCTCGCAGCGCGCCCAGCACCCCGCAGCGGGTCAGGTGCACGACGCGCGCCACGTCGGCCTCGCGCAGGTAGCGCGCGTTGTTCATGTGCAGCAGCAGGTCCAAGTCCGAGGGCAGCACGCGGCCCACGGTGCGCTGCTCGGCCAGCAAGTCGCGGACGCGCGGCTGCAGCAGGCGCGCGCGCAGCACGACCAGCGGCACGCGCACCAGGTACCAGCCGTCCAGGAACGCGAAGAAGGCGAGCGCCGCCAGCAAGGCCACCCACAGCCACGGCATCGCGGCAGCGGCGGCGGAACCCAAGCGCAGCCCTTCTCCGCTCGGCCCGGGCGGCTGCCCTCCCGTGCGCCGCGGAACCGGCGCGCTCGGAGCCAACCACCGCGCCAGGCTGACGCAGGGGGAGGCGCGGCCGAGGCGGCCGGCGCAGCGGCCCGGAGCTCCGCCCAGGGCTCCCGGACACCCCCGCCCCGGGCCCCGCGTGGTCCGTCCCGCCTCCTGGCGCTGGAGACCGGAGCTCGGGGCTCCGTGCGTTTCCCCCGGGGACCGGGTGGGGCCTTCGGCGCGTGGCCGCGGGGCGCTGAAGGCACGGGAGGACCCGAGCCGTCCTCCGGGCGTCTACCCGGGCCGAGGTGCGGCCGGCGCGGGCGCCTGACCCCAGAGGCCTCAGGGCTCCGGGGTTCTGGCCGGAACCTGGGGCCCAGGCGGGGCTGGGCCGAGCTGCTGGGACTCCTAGCCGCAGACTGGGGACCCGTGCGTGATCCGCACCTCCTACGGGCCCGACAATTGTCCCCAAGCCCATTTCCCAGCAGCCTGAGCCCTTTGCTGCGTTTTGAATCGCAGCAATAAAGGCCGAACGGGGCGGGGTGGAGCTGGGTGCCAGCGGCGATAGCGCCGGCCTGGGTGTCCTGTGAGGTGGAGGGCAATGAAGGGCAGGGGAGGACCCGACCTGGCGGCAGCTTCGGAACCCAGTGTCGGTGCAGTTTGTCCCTGGGGCCGGGTCGGGGAGCAGGAACCCCGCAGTGCCGCTGCAGAGGTCGCCCTCCGGGCCCTTACTGGCCAGCCCACAAGAGCTCTCTGGCGGCTTGCCATGATCCTCAGGCGGCCAGTCAAGTGCAAAGTAGCCCCTCATTCTACCCCCCTCCCCGTGACGGTCCCTGGGGCTGTGCAGCTGGGTACACGCCTGGCATGGGATGTGGAGGCCAGGGCAGGGGCAGTGTCAGACCAAGTGGGACCAGGGAGGCCCTGGGAGGGCTGCTGGCAGGCTGTTATTCTGATTATTACAGCTGCAGGAGGGTCTGCCCAGAGTCTGTCCAGTACTCGATGCTCAAAAAGGCATCTTCAACGTCAGCAGCCTGTGCTCAGAGCCAGTGCGTCTGTTTCCTCGTAGCCAGAGAGGGCGGCAGTGGCAGACCGCTTGGCGCTGGCACTGCGGGCAATAGCTTTACTCTCTGTGCCACAGCATGAATCCCGGTGAACTTTCGTTTGAATTCTACTTTCCTTGCAGTCTGCAGCTCTCTGCACTCTGTCGGAGCTGAGCAGCCCGTATGGGCACTGGCTCGAGTCCCGGCTGCTCCACTTCCCATCCAGCTCTCTACTTAGAAGCTGGGACAGCAGCTGGGCTTGGTCCAAGCCCTTGGGTCCCTGCACTCACGCGGGAGAGCCAGATGGACTGTTGGTTCCTGGTTTCATCTGGTCCTGGCCGTTTGGGGAGGGAACCAGTAGCAGGTGGAAAATCTCTCTCTGGGTAATTCTGCTTTTCAAACAAATGGATTCTTTTTTAGAAGCTTATTTTCATGCAAAAAACACCATGCATGCCAAGTCTTCAGAAAGTCTAGGAATGCGTATTGGCAGGGGTGGGGGAGTGTTTTTGTCCCAAAGCAAACTCCTCTTTCAACTGCTTGTCCCCTGGAGCTCTCCAAAGTCCCTGTCAGTGGCAGGTGTCTGGGAAGGAAGTCTTCAGCGGCTGTCACACTGCTCCAGGCAGCGTGGCCCTGGTCTTCCCTGGGAAGTGGATAGCCATGTGAGCTCCATTCCAGACCTTGCCTGGGAGGGCGGGCTCCCCAGGGAGCCTGCCCCAGGGAGAAAGGTCCCTCTCCTGCTCCAGTGAGCTCTGAGGCCCCTGGTGAGGAGGGCTCTCCCCGCCGGGTGCGGCCACAGGCCACGCTCCATGTTTGCCGGGCAGGTGGACGGTCCAGCTGGCAGCTTCTGCAGACAGGGAAGCACGGTGCTGGGTGCCTGCTGGGGAGAGCTCTGACAGGTACACAGTTCTGTGGGGGACCCCAGGTCTGCAGGTGCCTCCCAGAAAACGGGGCCAGCCAAGCCGGGCCTGAGTGCTGAGTGTGCTCGGGTCGCCAGGGCGGGTGCACGGCGTTGTAGGAGGGGCAGGCTGGGTGGTGTTGAAGAGGTGGGGTTGAGGTTACCAGGGCTGGGGCAGACAGATTAAACCACCAGCTGCAGTGCTGGTACCCCGTGTAGACACTGGTTTATATGTCCTGGCTGCTTCGCTTGCCATCCAGTGCCCTCCCACTACACCTGGGAAAGCAGCAGTGGGTGACCGGGTACCTGGGCCCCGCACCCACATGAGAGGCCCGGGTGGAGTTCCAGGTCCTGGCTTCGGCCTACCCTGGCCCAGGCTGTTGTGTCCATTTGGGGAGTGAGCCAGCAGATAAAAATCTCATTATCTTATCTATCTATGTTTCTTTCTATCATCTATCTTTCAAATCGTTTTTAAAAATGGGGGCTCAGGCCAGGCTCCTCAACAGTGTGACCCCTGCCTGACCTGCTGCCCCCGCAGCTCCAGCCCTGGGTTCTAGGCCGGGCTCTAGGCTTGGCTTAGCGTGTCAGTAGGCAGCAGGTCCCTTCCCTCATTGGGCTGTGCCCACCCAGCACGTGCCTTCCCTCTTTGTCCTCTGTCTACCCCCAGCAGGTGTCCCCTAGGTGCCGATGCTTTCTCAAAGGACCCTCCTAGGAGGGTTGCGCAGGGCCAGGAATCAGCTCTGTGAAGGCGCCCCAGAAGCCATGAGGGCGATGGAAGACCAGGGAGGACATGGAGTGGGAGGTGCAGCCCCTCAGCCCTGCCAGAGCCCACCCCCTTCCTGCCCAGCCGGGGGTGGGTCACAGATGACCGTCCGAGGCGCTGACCCCTCCTCAGGGAAGCCCAGCCATCCAGGTGCCTTATGTGTCCTCCTGCCAGGGCCACTGCAGGTCCCACAGTCACGGGACCTGGCCGGCGTCCAGCGCCTCTGACCTTGAACCTGAGGGGGACACGTAAGGACAGGTTTCTTTCCACTGCACCGACACTGTTTATTGAGGGCCCGCCATGTGCTGGGGTGGCTCTCCCGGGCCCTCCCAGCCCTCAGCTCTACTTGGTCCAGCTCATCTCAGCCTTGGCTGCGTCCTCCTCAGCGTCTGCCCGGGCCCGCTCCGGCAGAGGAGTGCAGGCTAGGCTTCCTGGAGGAAAAGGAGCCTGAGTGAGGTGTGGGGATGCTGGGCCCTGGACACTGGCTGCGGGGGGTGGATGTGGGGTCAGAAGGGTCCACTACAGGCTTCCTAAGCCCAGCTGGGCAGGGGGTGGCCAGCCGGCCCAGAAGGAACCTGGGAGGGCAAGGGGTGGTGGAGGGTGGGGACCTGGGCCGGGGTCTCGAGGCCTGCAGGGGGCAGGAGGGCCCCTGGCTGGGCCAGGTACGCTGGGCTCAGAGCCGGCCGGGGCCCCAGAACAGCAGGCTGGCCAGCGCCGTGAGCAGCCCCTGGGCGGTGGCCGACCGCAGGCTGTGGGCCCCGCTGACGTTGCACAGGTCTGTGGAGCAACAGGTGAGGTTCTTCCTGCCCACATAATAGTTCTCAGCGTCGTCCACGCAGTCAGAGCTACAGCCCTTGCTGATGAGCGTCACGAGGCCGGCAGCACCTGCGGGCGTGGCAGCTGTGAGCCCAGCGCCCGCCTCCCTGGACCTCGCCATCCCACAGCACAGGGTACAGGGCCCAGGGAGCAGCCGGGAGCTGGAGCAAGGCGTCAGGCCGGGGGTGGGGAGGACAGACAGAGCTGAGCCCGGCTCCTGAGCCCCCAGCGGCAGTGAGGGCCTGGGGGCCGCGGACACTCACGGATGCGGTCAGTCCAGCACTGGGTCTGGCCCGCGGTGCAGTTCTTCACATTCAGGCAGTCCCGGTTGCTCACCTGAGCCGTGCAGGAATAGCACTGCAGGGCGGCACCTGTATGCAGCGGGTGGGTTGGGCTTAGCAGGGCTCGGCCGCCTGCCTGCCCTCTATCCTTGCTAGAGGGGCCGGGAGCCTGCTGGATCCTGGCCCGCTCTTCACCCACCCCCAAGTGCTTCTGTGTCCACTTGCGGTCACCGTGCCCATGGGCCTGGAGCTGGGACTGGCTGACCTGCCAGCCAGAGGCCCAGGTGGGTATCAGTCTGGGACTGTGGGCAGCCACTTTTCTCTGGCTTCATCATGCACCAAGCACCTATCCCTCAGCCCACCTGTGTCCCCAGTGCTGTCCATGGTCATCCAGGCAGGTGGGACCAGGCGCGATCTCCTGGCCAAGTGGGCTGTATCCCTGGGGCTGGTCCTCCCCCGAAAGCCCACAGAGCTAGGGTCTGAGATTATCAGGGCCCCAAATCCCCCCTTGTCTCCACCCTCCCGCAGCCTCGGGGGCTATTCTGGTCTCCCCATCTTCTAGCTCAAGAGGCAGGTGGCTTACCTGTGCAACCCTCAGCTGGCCAGGGAGCAGAACCCAGAGCAGGGACCCCTAGGGCACCTGGCCCAGCTTTGCAGGCTGCTCCTTGGCTCCCGCCCCATGCACCCAGGAGAACATCGGGGCTTGGTGCTCCTGGCCCCTGCTCTGCGCAAGGGCCAAGCCCTGTCCCTTGATGGGGACAACAGTGACCCCTGCTGCCCCCCAAGCTTGCCTCCCAGGCTTGGATGTCATAACCCGACACGCATGTGCTGGGCTGTTCTAGAGAGAACCATAGCTGGGACGGGAGCCCCTCAGTCCTCCCTGCTCCCACCATGCCCCGGCTGCCTCCCCCTCCCTCTTCTTCCTCATATCCATCTGCCCCTCTGAGTTCCCCTGCTTCTCTCTCTCTCACACACACACGTCAAGGTCTCACCTGGCTGCAGGGCCAGGCTGGTGGCCAGCAGGGCAAGGAGAAACACCTTCATGATCACCAGGGCAGTAGGGGACCCAGCCTTGGGGTGGCTTTATATAGCCCCAGCGGCTGGAGGGATGTGGCCCACCCAGTCAGCGGTATTGGGTGCCCTGGAGCCAGTGAGAGCTTAGCAGTTCCAATCTCGGGCTCCGCCAACCCAGCGCCCCACCCTCTCCCTTTGTCCTTCTTTCAGGCTGCAGAAGGCACAGCCTGTAGGGCGGGGGTCCCCTCCCCAGCTCAGGTCCCTGGCAGGGCTGGAAATGCCTCAGGACTTCCGGCTTAGCCCCACCCCACAACCCCTCCAAATCCTGCAAGGTGCGGCCCACCCCTCAGACCCATGCTATCCCTAACCTGCTCCCATGCTGCTCCCAGGCCTCCAGTGTCCTGGGGGACAGAACTCCACAGGGGTGCCCACAGGAAGGCAGGCTTCAGAGCAGGCGTAGTGAGGTGGCATAGTTCTGGAGCCCAAGGGGATCCCCTGCAGGGGTGCTGTGTACAGGACCCTTAGGGCTTCACCCTCTAGTGCCCACCACCTGGAGCGCCAACCAGGAAATGCTGCCTGAGAGCAGCCGGAGGGGCTGGGCATCGCTCGGCCTTTGGCCCACCTGCACCGGGGCCTGGAAGCCCGAGGAGAAGCACGGGCAGGACGCAGCTCTCCAGGCAGCACCAGGAGGCCCAGCAGCCGCCAGTCTTGGTGCTGCTCTGTCTCCAGCCCCCTTCCTTCACCTCGGCCCAGAGGCCCTGGGATGCCCTGCTGTCCATGGACTCCTTGGGCCTTTGGGCATGGCATTGTTCTGGCTGTCCCCTTGTTGCATGTGTGGCAGGCGTGCGGGTGGTAGCTGTGTCCCTGGCCCCTCACCGTTCTTAGATTGTGCACCCCGCACAGGGTCTCGGGGACAGGACCACAGGGATCGCGTGACCAGGCCTCCCTCCATTAGGGGCCTCAGCCCAGCCTCCAGGCCACCCAGAGTCTCCCATGTGTACCCCTCTGGTGTCCTGGCCAGTCAGGCCCTGGCTCATGGCCTGGACAGGAATTTGCACAGGGTCACAGGCTAACTGTGGCCTCTCCCTGCCCTGAGCCCACTGGGCTCCCTGATGGGCGTCTCCGACAGCACACGGATGACTCCAGGGTTTGCGTGAGCGCCTACACACTGCCTCATGTGCCCGTACCCCAGCCCTGGCCCGGGCCCTCTGTTATCACATTGGTGTGGGAGGCAGCCAGCAGCCAGCCCCAGGTTGGAACACTCATTGCTCAAATATTTGCAGGCGTGTGTGTTTGCAGACCTGGGCAGACATGAGGAGATTATGGCCGTGCTCCCCAAGCGTGACCGTTCTGTCCCCACCCCAATACTTGGGTTGTCCCAACTCGGGTGCTTCTGGCACCTTGTGGGTCCAGGCCAGGGGCAGCCTTGTGCCTGCCCTTGGCTAGGAGTGCCAGGGCGAGTCTCGACCCTGGCCGCCAGCCCCCTGTCCTGGTGCTGGTCCCACACTCTGAGCCCTGGCCTGTGTTGGCAGTGCGGTGTGCGTCCTGCCTGCATCCTCTGGGGTCCCACGCTCAGCAGGGCAAGACCAGGTGGTGTCCAGGCAGCGGGCATGGCTCACCCCAGCCCTCCCCTTCCTCCGCAGGTTGTCACCCCACCTGCCTGGGGCCACCTGCTTTTCCTGTCCTCCCGGCCCTCCACCCACGACGGGCCCAAACCAGCTGGGCGAACCGGGATCCTGCCCGTTCTCTGCAACCCAAGTGCTGGGCTGGCTCCTGCCACACAGCACTTCCCTGAGCTTTCCCAGTTCAGGCACTGCTGACTTTAAGAGGTAGAGAACAGACATGAGGTGTGCCAGCTGCCATTTCACTCCCTGTATGCACGCAGCAGCCAGGCCTGGCCAGCCCAAAGCAGGACTTAGTCACGGGGCCATGCTTGGCTGTGTGTGCTGGCTGTATAACTGTATAGGCATGTGTGTGTCGTTGGGTCATGTGTGTGCTGGCTGTGTGGGTGTGTAACTGCTTGTGGCAGGAGTGTGTTTGTGGTCACGTGTGTGTGGGGAGAAGTTGTACGCACAGTTAGGTTGGGAGGCGCCTGGACACACTTGAGAGACAGAGAGGAAGGGGCAGGGCTCACTTCCACAGACGGGGCGCAGGGCAGGGACGAGGTGGAGACGGTGACACGTGGGTGGTGGGGCAGCAGGTGGGGCAGTGGGTGTCGGCGGCGTCTGCACCAGGAGATAAGGCCGTGACCTCAGCTTCCATGGGGACAGGGAGGCTGTTCAGCACAGTGTGGCTGCAGATGAGGCACTCAGTGGGCCCTCTCGGGGCAGGCCAGTGCTGCCCTGCCCAACACCTGCCCGTGTATGTTGACAGCCCCCAGTCCCACCAGGCCCAGGTGGCTTGGGCCTCTCCCCCGAGCTGCGCTGGCCCCTCCTGGGACCCCGGAGCACCCTGCCTCTCCTATGTGCAGCCAGGCCGTCACCATGCAGACACCCGGGGCAGTGGCCACGGGCCCAGGAGAGGCCAGCTCGCGCAATCCGAGTGGGCAATTTGCAACTCAAGGGCAGGAGGTGGGGTAGGCTGCGGCTAAGCTCCAGTCTGGCCTGGCTGCGGGAGGGGGGCGTCCCTGGCAGGCCCTGGAGGCTTCGGGGCACCCCTTTTCTTTCTGCGCCTCCTCCTCTGCGAGGTGCTCCCCATCCTTGGGAGGAGACAGCCGGCCCCTCCGCTTGGGCCAGGCCCGGCCCAGCCCCGCTCTGTGTCCACCCGGCCACCCCGCAGCACCCGCGCAGCGCGCCCGGCCTGGCCCCACCGAGACGCAGTCCTCCAGCTGGCCTAGAGCGTCCCGGAAAGGACTCCAGGGAAGCGCGACGGGAGGACCGGCGGAGCGCCGAGCGGAGGACACTTCCGGCCGGTGGCGGCTGCTCCGGGGTCTGCGGGGTGAGTGGGGTCCACGGGGCGATCGGGGGTGGGGGCGGGCGGGCGGGCTGCCTCGCTCGGCGTTCGCGGGGCGCGGGCGGGGGCCGCAGCGCCCACCCTTTGGGGCTGACCCCGCACCCCGCATCCTGCACTCCGCACCCAGCCTCCGTCCCGGCTTCTCCCGAGTCCCGGGACTTGAGGTCACGCCCTCCCAGAGCGCGCTGGTCCCCCAGGAAACCGGAGGAGAGTCCACCCGGTCCTCAGGTGGGGACGGCCGCTGTGCCCCAGGAGGGCTCCCTGCAGGACCCGCCCTGGGCGTTGGAGGATTTGTCATCTAGCACAGACCAGGGTCAGGGCGCGCCCCGGAACCTGCTGGGGCTGCGGGCCGGTCACTCTCGGGAAAGCTGGGCCAGGAGACCAGGAAGAGGGTAGCTGGTTGCCCACAGCCACAGGGGGTGGATGGAGGGAATGTGTGAGGGACACAGCCGGCCTCCCTGTGGGCACGGGGCTGTGAGATCAGCAGCCCCGGGACACTCCGAGAAACAAGTTCTGCAGACTGCCAGCCCTGCCCCCTTGGTGCCTCCACAGAAACTTCAGGGAGGGACCCGGTGGGGGCTGGCCAGGCCCTGCCTGTGCCCTGGGAGGGTGCCCCGTGTGCGTCCAGCAGAGAGGGACCTGGTGGCCCTGCCTGCGCCCTGGGAGGGTGGCCCTGCCTGCGCCCTGGGAGGGTGCCCCGTGTGCGTCCAGCAGGGCCTTCAGGGAGGGTCCCCTTTAAGGAGCCCCTGCTTCACACCACCCACCCTGGCCTCTGTGCATCTGGGGCTGACTCGGGCAGGAGACTGTACCCCTGGGTCAGCCTGCTCCTGGCATCTGGCAGAAAGCAGGCGCGCTTGAGCGTCCGGAGCCCTGGCTGACTGCCCTTCACTTTCCCTTGTGCCTTCCAGGAGCGTGGTGTGTAAGAGCTGCTTACACCCTGGAGCTGGACCCCTCGGCTCAGGCAGTAAAGTCTCCAGGTTGGGTAGGTCCGAGGTTCCAGCCAGGCGGGGCCGGCCACCCCCTCCCCCATGGCCTCCCCCATGGCCGCCCCGCCGGCGGCTCCCCGGGGCCGGGGAGCCAAGCGGAAGCGCGTGGTGCTGACGCTGAGGGAGAAGATGGAGATTTGCACGCGCCTGGAGCGGGGAGAGAGCCGGAAGGCGCTGACGCAGGAGTACAACGTGGGCCTGTCCACGCTGTATGACATCAGGGCGCACAAGGCCCAGCTGCTGCGCTTCGTCGCCAGCGCTGACTGTGGCCAGGCGCTGGAGCGGCGGCGCACGCTGCACACCCCCAAGCTGGAGCACCTGGACCGTGTGCTGTACCAGTGGTTCCTGGGGCAGCGCGCCGAGGGCGTGCCTGTGTCCGGCCCCATGCTCATTGAGAAGGCCAGGGACCTGTACACGCAGATGCAGCTCACAGAGCCCTGCGTCTTCTCCGGGGGCTGGCTGTGGCGCTTCAAGGCCAGGCACGGCATCAGGAAGTTGGATGTGGCCGGCGAGAGGCAGGCTGCCAACCCCCGTGCCACTGAGCAGTTCTGTGGGTTCTTCAGGAGCCTGGCGGCTGAGCACGGGCTGTCCCCAGAGCAGGTGTACAGTGCCAACGAGACCGGCCTTCTGTGGCGCGGCCTGCCAAGCACTGGGACGGAGGGCGTGGCTGTGGCCAGCCCCAGGCCGTGCCGGGACCGGCTGAGCGTCCTTGTGTGTGCCAACGCCACCGGCTCCCACAGGATCAAGCCCCTGGCGGTCAGCAAATGCAGCAGCCCCCAGGTGGCCCGGGGCCTCCAACAGCTGCCGGTCGCCTGCAAGGCCCAGGGCCACGCCTGGGTGGACCGGGAGGTCTTCGCAGACTGGTTCCACCACATCTTCGCGCCCTCAGTGAGGGAGCACTTCCGGGCCTTGGGCCTGCCTGCGGACAGCAAGGCCGTCCTCCTGCTGGAGCGCTCCCGGGCCCGCCCGCAGGAGTCCGAGCTGGTGTCCGAGAACATCTTCAGCATCCTCCTGCCGGCCAGCGTGGCCTCCTTGCTGCAGCCCATGGAGCAGGGCATCCGCAGGGCTTTCCTGCGGCACTTCCTGGGCCCG